TGTCCGAGAGGTTGGTGCGTCGGGTGGAGGCCCTGGGCTTCAAGGCTTTGGTGCTGACCGTGGACGTCCCGTACACAGGCAAGAGGAGGAGCGACATACGCAATAACTTTCGCCTCCCGCCGCATCTGAAGGTCAAAAACTTTGAAGGTGCTTTTGAGGTGAGATTTTCTTTCCTTTACATTCTGGCTAATGAGGGAAGGAGGAGAATATGGCCGACAGGAAGGTCCACATCTCCTTCCTCCGTGTTACTCTCCGTGGCTGTCAATTAGCCTGTGACTTTTATATTTTACAGTCAGCCACAACTTTCTATTCGATTCTAGTAAGAGGAGAGAAAGGTGTTACAATCGCTGCCTGTGCCCTGAATTGGGGGAGGGGGGCTCCATTCCTGGGAAGACAGGAAGTGATGGGAAATCTCACTAACAGAGACACAGACCACTGCACAGACAAGGGTTAGTCCGGTGGTCCTCAGCCTGAGTGAGACCCGGGCCAGGTAAATTCTTTCAAAACCTTCTACGCCCCAACAACAAAAAAATGAGAATCCGAAGTTCTGAGCCAAATCATTGGTGTGAGTGGGATCATAGCCCACAGAGAAGAATGCCCCCCCAAATCATTGGTGTGAGTGGGATCATAGCCCCCAGAGGAGAACAGCCCCCCAAATCATTGGTGTGAGTGGGATCATAGCCCCCAGAGAAGAACGGCCCCCCAAATCATTGGTTTCCCAAACCACTATGGGTTTGCAGTCACTACCTTTCAGACAGTCTGTCTCTCATTGAGACCATACAGAAGGGGGAGGAGTCGGAGTCTGTGCTGTGATTGAAGGAGGTCATGATAAAACAAAGGTTTGGGCTTTAGATACACCTTAATCTCACGTCTCTGTAGGAACACTGCGGCGCGGACAACTACGGCGTCCCGGCCAACACCCTGGACCCGTCCATCAGCTGGAAGGATATCTTTTGGCTGCGGAATCTGACCCGCCTGCCGATCATCATCAAGGGAATACTGACGAAGGAAGACGCGGAGTTGGCGGTTGAGCACGGTGTCCAGGGCATCATCGTATCCAATCACGGAGGTCGCCAGTTGGACGGGGAACTCGCCACGGTATGCAAAATATCCGGAGGGGGGATAGATAGAGTATTGAGTATTGGTGAACCCAACTGGACTGCTCCATACACAGTAGTAGCGTGTACATTGGACGCATCGTTGTCTGTCTGTGTCTCACGTGTATCTATTTATCTCCACGTTGTCACAGATCGATGCTCTGTCTGAGATCGTGGACGCGGTCCAGGGCCGAATCGAGGTGTACATTGATGGAGGCATACGGACAGGAAGTGATGTCCTGAAGGCCTTGGCCCTGGGAGCAAAGTGTGTGTTCATTGGGCGCCCTGTTGTGTGGGGTCTTGCATACAAGGTGTGTCTACTGGGGAATATTTGCTGTCAATCAATTATTGAAATATTGTTAATAGACCGGATACATTCTAAATATAGAGCCATTTATCCAACTGTCCCTCCAGAGCCGCCATTTATAGACCAGATACATCCTAAATATAGAGCCATTTATCCAACTGTCCCTCCAGAGCCGCCATTTATAGACCAGATACATCCTAAATATAGAGCCATTTATCCAACTGTCCCTCCAGAGCCGCCATTTATAGACCAGATACATCCTAAATATAGAGCCATTTATCCAACTGTCCCTCCAGAGCCGCCATTTATAGACCAGATACATCCTAAATATAGAGCCATTTATCCAACTGTCCCTCCAGAGCCGCCATTTATAGACCAGATACATCCTAAATATAGAGCCATTTATCCAACTGTCCCTCCAGAGCCGCCATTTATAGACCAGATACATCCTAAATATAGAGCCATTTATCCAACTGTCCCTCCAGAGCCGCCATTTATAGACCGGATACATCCTAAATATAGAGCCATTTATCCAACTGTCCATCCAGAGCCGCCATTTATAGACCGGATACATCCTAAATATAGAGCCATTTATCCAACTGTCCATCCAGAGCCGCCATTTATAGACCGGATACATCCTAAATATAGAGCCATTTATCCAACTGTCCATCCAGAGCCGCCATTTATAGACCGGATACATCCTAAATATAGAGCCATTTATCCAACTGTCCATCCAGAGCCGCCATTTATAGACCGGATACATCCTAAATATAGAGCCATTTATCCAACTGTCCATCCAGAGCCGCCATTTATAGACCGGATACATCCTAAATATAGAGCCATTTATCCAACTGTCCATCCAGAGCCGCCATTTATAGACCGGATACATCCTAAATATAGAGCCATTTATCCAACTGTCCATCCAGAGCCGCCATTTATAGACCGGATACATCCTAAATATAGAGCCATTTATCCAACTGTCCATCCAGAGCCGCCATTTATAGACCGGATACATCCTAAATATAGAGCCATTTATCCAACTGTCCATCCAGAGCCGCCATTTATAGACCGGATACATCCTAAATATAGAGCCATTTATCCAACTGTCCATCCAGAGCCGCCATTTATAGACCGGATACATCCTAAATATAGAGCCATTTATCCAACTGTCCATCCAGAGCCGCCATTTATAGACCGGATACATCCTAAATATAGAGCCATTTATCCAACTGTCCATCCAGAGCCGCCATTTATAGACCGGATACATCCTAAATATAGAGCCATTTATCCAACTGTCCATCCAGAGCCGCCATTTATAGACCGGATACATCCTAAATATAGAGCCATTTATCCAACTGTCCATCCAGAGCCGCCATTTATAGACCGGATACATCCTAAATATAGAGCCATTTATCCAACTGTCCATCCAGAGCCGCCATTTATAGACCGGATACATCCTAAATATAGAGCCATTTATCCAACTGTCCATCCAGAGCCGCCATTTATAGACCGGATACATCCTAAATATAGAGCCATTTATCCAACTGTCCATCCAGAGCCGCCATTTATAGACCGGATACATCCTAAATATAGAGCCATTTATCCAACTGTCCATCCAGAGCCGCCATTTATAGACCGGATACATCCTAAATATAGAGCCATTTATCCAACTGTCCATCCAGAGCCGCCATTTATAGACCGGATACATCCTAAATATAGAGCCATTTATCCAACTGTCCATCCAGAGCCGCCATTTATAGACCGGATACATCCTAAATATAGAGCCATTTATCCAACTGTCCATCCAGAGCCGCCATTTATAGACCGGATACATCCTAAATATAGAGCCATTTATCCAACTGTCCATCCAGAGCCGCCATTTATAGACCGGATACATCCTAAATATAGAGCCATTCATCCAACTGTCCCTCCAGAGCCGCCATTTATAGACCGGATACATCCTAAATATAGAGCCATTTATCCAACTGTCCACCCAGAGCCGCCATTTATAGACCGGATACATCCTAAATATAGAGAGAGTTGTGGCTGGAAGTGTCCCCGTTGAACGATTTCTCCTCAGTTCCTGTTTTAAGTCGGCCATTTTGGATTTCCCATCACAGTCCGTACTGGAGACAAAAGTCAGCAGGATAAATCTCCCCCTCAGAGACACAACCAGCGATAAAACCTGACCGGAGTCCTGACTTTATGTGTAACTTATAAGAACGTCTCAGATTTACATACACAGCGATTTTTGGGGTTGTCGTTCAGTAACTCTCTACCCCTTCTTTTACTATTAGGGAGAAGAGGGTGTCCGGGGGGTGCTGCAAATTCTGACTGATGAGTTTCGTTTGTCCATGGCACTCTCAGGTAAGAATGTGACATCACAATATATTATTATATATGTATATAGCTCTGACCTATACCGCAGCGCTGTACAGAGAACACTGAGCCAGTCACATCAGTCTCTGTACAGAGGAGCTTACACTCTAATGTCCCCTCCCACAGTCACATCAGTCTCTGTACAGAGGAGCTTACACTCTAATGTCCCCTCCCCCAGGGATAGCAAGCAAAACAGGCTACTATACTTACAATAGCAAACTAGTTACATACAAATCTGTACCCAATGTAACCGTACACAATACAATAATAGAAAAAGATGTGATAAATTATCAGAATAATTCACCCTGCGCGCTGTCAATTAGAATTGTAAACAAAAACACTAATAAAATGTAATCGCTATGATTTCGGAGTAAAAGTTAATTCTTCATGTATGATCAATATCTCACCAATCCTTCAAAAGAAAATGTTCAGAGTCTTATTGGATGAGATGACGGCTCGTTTTCGGCAGCGAGGGTTAAGTCTTATCGATGGTCAATGAGTGACAGTCCTTTGGTTATATCCAGGAAGTTTTCTCCAGACTCTTCTTCCTCTCTCCTGGTATTTTATATGGTTGGGAAGCATTGTTCATATTGGCGACTCCTCAACCACTATTTTGCTTTCTTCCTATTGATCGGTTCAGAAATGGTAGTTGATTGGTATGATTCACTCATATCGTCTGCGCTCAGTTGAGTAAGCCTTGGATGTGTTTGATAACTTACTCAACCTTAAGGTGCCCATGCGCTGCACGATTCTCGTACGAGAATGGCGGGAAATCCCGCGATCGTACCCGCGATGGCGGGAAATCCCGCGATCGTACGAGAATCGTGCAGTGTATGGAAGACGTGCGACCGTCTCTACTGTACGGTCGCACGTCTTCCGTCGAACCGGCATGTTTGAAGACCCCATAGTTCTCCTTTAGTGGCGCGAGGTCCCCCGATCGTACGAGAAGCGTGCAGTGTATGGAAGACGTGCGACCGTCTCTACTGTACGGTCGCACGTCTTCCGTCGAACCGGCATGTTTGAAGACCCCATAGTTCTCCTTTAATTTCTCATATAGGGAAAAGATATCCTTAATCTGGGTCTTTCTTGCTTCATTTCTTTTATTTACTGACCTTGAAGTCTTAAAGGTCTTCCAGCATTGTCAATTGTGATTCCATGGTTACTCAAATCTTAGACTTCATTTGCAATGTTTATCTCTTTGAATTTAGTTGGTTAGTACAATAGCTGGTTCCTCAAGGGTCCCCCTGTATTGTTTGTTCATTGCTTAGTTTTGTACACAATGGGCTGTTTTGGTTGATTAATTTACCTGTCCAGCACAGACTTCTGGACCCTTGCACAGAAAAGTTTGATTTAGTTTCTGTACAAGTCATAGTTCATCAGTTTTTGTAATTTTATATAGAAATACCCTGACACTGTACAGAGGAGCTGACACTCTAATGTCCCCTCCCCCCCACACAGTCACATCAGTCTCTGTACAGAGGAGCTTACACTCTAATGTCCCCTCCCCCACAATCACATCAGTCTCTGTACAGAGGAGCTTACACTCTAATGTCCCCTCCCCCACAATCACATCAGTCTCTGTACAGAGGAGCTTACACTCTAATGTCCCCTCCCCCACAATCACATCAGTCTCTGTACAGAGGAGCTTACACTCTAATGTCCCCTCCCCCCCACAGTCACATCAGTCTCTGTACAGAGGAGCTTACACTCTAATGTGCAATCATTCCAGAGTCTGTGTACTCCGGTGGTGACAACAAAAGGGAGAGAAACACATACACAGGAAGAGATGGTGAGATTGTTAATGAGAGAGGTTGGTGGGGTCACTGGGGTGGAGAGGAGGAGAGCATCTTGGTTCCCATCATAGAGGCCCATAAACCTGTCCTGGTTCCTACCATAGAGCCCATAGACCTGTCCTGGTTCCCATCGTAGAGGCCCATAGACCTGTCCTGGTTCCCGTCATAGGGGCCCATAGACCTGTCCTGTTCCCATCATAGAGGCCCATAAACCTGTCCTGGTTCCTACCATAGAGCCCATAGACCTGTCCTGGTTCCCATCGTAGAGGCCCATAGACCTGTCCTGGTTCCCGTCATAGGGGCCCATAGACCTGTCCTGTTCCCATCATAGAGGCCCATAAACCTGTCCTGGTTCCTACCATAGAGCCCATAGACCTGTCCTGGTTCCCATCGTAGAGGCCCATAGACCTGTCCTGGTTCCCGTCATAGGGGCCCATAGACCTGTCCTGTTCCCATCATAGAGGCCCATAAACCTGTCCTGGTTCCTACCATAGAGCCCATAGACCTGTCCTGGTTCCCATCGTAGAGGCCCATAGACCTGTCCTGGTTCCCGTCATAGGGGCCCATAGACCTGTCCTGTTCCCATCATAGAGGCCCATAAACCTGTCCTGGTTCCTACCATAGAGCCCATAGACCTGTCCTGGTTCCCATCGTAGAGGCCCATAGACCTGTCCTGGTTCCCGTCATAGGGGCCCATAGACCTGTCCTGTTCCCATCATAGAGGCCCATAAACCTGTCCTGGTTCCTACCATAGAGCCCATAGACCTGTCCTGGTTCCCATCGTAGAGGCCCATAGACCTGTCCTGGTTCCCGTCATAGGGGCCCATAGACCTGTCCTGTTCCCATCATAGAGGCCCATAAACCTGTCCTGGTTCCTACCATAGAGCCCATAGACCTGTCCTGGTTCCCATCGTAGAGGCCCATAGACCTGTCCTGGTTCCCGTCATAGGGGCCCATAGACCTGTCCTGTTCCCATCATAGAGGCCCATAAACCTGTCCTGGTTCCTACCATAGAGCCCATAGACCTGTCCTGGTTCCCATCGTAGAGGCCCATAGACCTGTCCTGGTTCCCGTCATAGGGGCCCATAGACCTGTCCTGTTCCCATCATAGAGGCCCATAAACCTGTCCTGGTTCCTACCATAGAGCCCATAGACCTGTCCTGGTTCCCATCGTAGAGGCCCATAGACCTGTCCTGGTTCCCGTCATAGGGGCCCATAGACCTGTCCTGTTCCCATCATAGAGGCCCATAAACCTGTCCTGGTTCCTACCATAGAGCCCATAGACCTGTCCTGGTTCCCATCGTAGAGGCCCATAGACCTGTCCTGGTTCCCGTCATAGGGGCCCATAGACCTGTCCTGTTCCCATCATAGAGGCCCATAAACCTGTCCTGGTTCCTACCATAGAGCCCATAGACCTGTCCTGGTTCCCATCGTAGAGGCCCATAGACCTGTCCTGGTTCCCGTCATAGGGGCCCATAGACCTGTCCTGTTCCCATCATAGAGGCCCATAAACCTGTCCTGGTTCCTACCATAGAGCCCATAGACCTGTCCTGGTTCCCATCGTAGAGGCCCATAGACCTGTCCTGGTTCCCGTCATAGGGGCCCATAGACCTGTCCTGTTCCCATCATAGAGGCCCATAAACCTGTCCTGGTTCCTACCATAGAGCCCATAGACCTGTCCTGGTTCCCATCGTAGAGGCCCATAGACCTGTCCTGGTTCCCGTCATAGGGGCCCATAGACCTGTCCTGTTCCCATCATAGAGGCCCATAAACCTGTCCTGGTTCCTACCATAGAGCCCATAGACCTGTCCTGGTTCCCATCGTAGAGGCCCATAGACCTGTCCTGGTTCCCGTCATAGGGGCCCATAGACCTGTCCTGTTCCCATCATAGAGGCCCATAAACCTGTCCTGGTTCCTACCATAGAGCCCATAGACCTGTCCTGGTTCCCATCGTAGAGGCCCATAGACCTGTCCTGGTTCCCGTCATAGGGGCCCATAGACCTGTCCTGTTCCCATCATAGAGGCCCATAAACCTGTCCTGGTTCCTACCATAGAGCCCATAGACCTGTCCTGGTTCCCATCGTAGAGGCCCATAGACCTGTCCTGGTTCCCGTCATAGGGGCCCATAGACCTGTCCTGTTCCCATCATAGAGGCCCATAAACCTGTCCTGGTTCCTACCATAGAGCCCATAGACCTGTCCTGGTTCCCATCGTAGAGGCCCATAGACCTGTCCTGGTTCCCGTCATAGGGGCCCATAGACCTGTCCTGTTCCCATCATAGAGGCCCATAAACCTGTCCTGGTTCCTACCATAGAGCCCATAGACCTGTCCTGGTTCCCATCGTAGAGGCCCATAGACCTGTCCTGGTTCCCGTCATAGGGGCCCATAGACCTGTCCTGTTCCCATCATAGAGGCCCATAAACCTGTCCTGGTTCCTACCATAGAGCCCATAGACCTGTCCTGGTTCCCATCGTAGAGGCCCATAGACCTGTCCTGGTTCCCGTCATAGGGGCCCATAGACCTGTCCTGTTCCCATCATAGAGGCCCATAAACCTGTCCTGGTTCCTACCATAGAGCCCATAGACCTGTCCTGGTTCCCATCGTAGAGGCCCATAGACCTGTCCTGGTTCCCGTCATAGGGGCCCATAGACCTGTCCTGTTCCCATCATAGAGGCCCATAAACCTGTCCTGGTTCCTACCATAGAGCCCATAGACCTGTCCTGGTTCCCATCGTAGAGGCCCATAGACCTGTCCTGGTTCCCGTCATAGGGGCCCATAGACCTGTCCTGTTCCCATCATAGAGGCCCATAAACCTGTCCTGGTTCCTACCATAGAGCCCATAGACCTGTCCTGGTTCCCATCGTAGAGGCCCATAGACCTGTCCTGGTTCCCGTCATAGGGGCCCATAGACCTGTCCTGTTCCCATCATAGAGGCCCATAAACCTGTCCTGGTTCCTACCATAGAGCCCATAGACCTGTCCTGGTTCCCATCGTAGAGGCCCATAGACCTGTCCTGGTTCCCGTCATAGGGGCCCATAGACCTGTCCTGTTCCCATCATAGAGGCCCATAAACCTGTCCTGGTTCCTACCATAGAGCCCATAGACCTGTCCTGGTTCCCATCGTAGAGGCCCATAGACCTGTCCTGGTTCCCGTCATAGGGGCCCATAGACCTGTCCTGTTCCCATCATAGAGGCCCATAAACCTGTCCTGGTTCCTACCATAGAGCCCATAGACCTGTCCTGGTTCCCATCGTAGAGGCCCATAGACCTGTCCTGGTTCCCGTCATAGGGGCCCATAGACCTGTCCTGTTCCCATCATAGAGGCCCATAAACCTGTCCTGGTTCCTACCATAGAGCCCATAGACCTGTCCTGGTTCCCATCGTAGAGGCCCATAGACCTGTCCTGGTTCCCGTCATAGGGGCCCATAGACCTGTCCTGTTCCCATCATAGAGGCCCATAAACCTGTCCTGGTTCCTACCATAGAGCCCATAGACCTGTCCTGGTTCCCATCGTAGAGGCCCATAGACCTGTCCTGGTTCCCGTCATAGGGGCCCATAGACCTGTCCTGTTCCCATCATAGAGGCCCATAAACCTGTCCTGGTTCCTACCATAGAGCCCATAGACCTGTCCTGGTTCCCATCGTAGAGGCCCATAGACCTGTCCTGGTTCCCGTCATAGGGGCCCATAGACCTGTCCTGTTCCCATCATAGAGGCCCATAAACCTGTCCTGGTTCCTACCATAGAGCCCATAGACCTGTCCTGGTTCCCATCGTAGAGGCCCATAGACCTGTCCTGGTTCCCGTCATAGGGGCCCATAGACCTGTCCTGTTCCCATCATAGAGGCCCATAAACCTGTCCTGGTTCCTACCATAGAGCCCATAGACCTGTCCTGGTTCCCATCATAGAGTCCCATTAACCTGTCCTGGTTCTCATCATTGAGGCCCATAGACCTGTCCTGGTTCCCATCGTAGAGGCCCATAGACCTGTCCTGGTTCCCATCATAGAGCCCATAAACCTGTCCTGGTTCCCACCAAAAAGGCCCATAGACCTGTCCTAGTTCCCACCATAGAGGCCCATAGACCTGTCCTGGTTCCCATCATAGAGGCCCATAAGCCTGTCCTGGTTCCCATCATAGAGGCCCATAGACCTGTCCTGGTTCCCATCATAGAGGCCCATAGACCTGTCCTGGTTCCCATCATAGAGGCCCATAAACCTGTCCTGGTTCCCATCGTAGAGGCCCATAGACCTGTCCTGGTTCCCATCATAGAGGCCCATAAACCTGTCCTGGTTCCTACCATAGAGCCCATAGACCTGTCCTGGTTCCCATCATAGAGGCCCATAGACCTGTCCTGGTTCCCATCATAGAGGCCCATAGACCTGTCCTGGTTCCCATCATAGAGGCCCATAGACCTGTCCTGGTTCCCATCATAGAGCCCATAAACCTGTCCTGGTTCCCATCATAGAGGCCCATAGACCTGTCCTGGTTCCCATCATAGAGCCCATAAACCTGTCCTGGTTCCTACCATAGAGCCCATAGACCTGCCCTGGTTCCTACCATAGAGCCCATAAACCTGTCCTGGTTCCCATCATAGAGCCCATAAACCTGTCCTGGTTCCTACCATAGAGCCCATAGACCTGCCCTGGTTCCTACCATAGAGCCCATAAACCTGTCCTGGTTCCCATCATAGAGCCCATAAACCTGTCCTGGTTCCTACCATAGAGCCCATAGACCTATCCTGGTTCCCATCATAGAGGCCCATAGACCTGACATGAAGGTAGAACTGTGGATACCAACTGCAGGCGGCGTCTGACCTCACAACCCATAATCCTCAGCGCCTGACATCACGCTCTCTCTTTGTTTTTTTTTAGGCTGCCGAAATGTTACCGAAATCAACCGAAACCTCGTTCAGTTCTCTAAACTCTGACATGGCTGTGCAGGAGCTGAAAGAAAAGCAACTACAGGAAACACCTCACCCAACCCCTCCCGGCCATCACCTGTCAGGAATGGGATGGGGGGAGGGGATTCAAGTGCCGAAATCCTCTTATCCTGATGAATTGTGAATGGCGGGATACGATGACATCATCACCACGTGCCTTACCCTGAGCCCGCCCCTCTCTGACCCTCCCCCACAGACAGGTCCCCTTTATAGAGACGGGGGAGAGAATGACAAATAATGGATACAAAGTGATACATGTAATATAAAAAAAGAACTCCGTCACATGTTCTAATCACATGTCACATGTTCCTACCGCACGTCACATGTCCCTACCGCACGTCACATGTCCCTACCGCATGTCACATGACCCAATAACACGTCGCATGTTCCAATCACATGTCCCTATCGCACGTCACATGTCCCTATCGCATGTCACATGTCCCAATCACACATCACGTGTCCCAATCACACGTCGCGTGTTCCAACCACACGTCACGTGTTCCAATCACATGTTCTAGTCACACTCCCGACAAGTCCTCCGTTGTATCCGATTCCCCGCAATATAAACCTTTAAAGCTGCAGCAGCTCTTTAAGCCCCGCCTCCATTTCCTGTCATTACCTCCTCCCAATGCTCTGACGGCGATTAGCCGGCCTCTGGTTGCTGCAGACTTTAGCTGTGCGTTCTGCTGATCAGTCTACCAGAGTGTCATCAAGCCGCTGATCAGCAGAACGCACAGCTAAACCCTTCAGCAACCAGGGGATGCCGAAATGCGTTCGCTCAGGGAAGAGCAGTACGGTGGCTCATGGCAGGGATGCACGACTGAAGGGATGCGTGTTCTTTCACATGACGCCCAAGGCACGGCGCTGTAACCTTTACAGGAGCCTGCCAGGCCCCTCCCACCACACATGACCAGCAGGCGGACCAAGTGATGATGTCACTGGGTCTCAAAAGAGGCATTTTGGATTGCAATGTTTTAATTTGACCACCAACTCCCTGTTGTGCTCCTGCACGAGCTCCGCCCCCCAATCAGCGTGATGCAAGGGGGAGGGGGGTCCGGGCGCGTAGTTTGAGAGGGTGGACAGCCGACAGATAATCATGTGTGTGATTTAGAACGGAGTTCTTTTTTTTTTTGAAGGGCCCGCTCAGCGCTCGGCGTCTCTGATGTGCGTTGCCAATGGGCCCTGAATCCTGTCATCCAATCATATCACAGAACACACGGCTCTGACAGTCCAGCGCAGGATACTGTCCATACGGCGCTCCGCCCCCCCACTGATCCCAGCTCCGCGCTCGCAGCATCATTACCTCATCCAGACAGACGTCCAATCCCCGCCCATTTCTACCGCCACCCCGGAGGCCAATCCGAACCCGCAAGGTGATCAATAAACACGCTGAAAACCAACATGGCCGCCGCGTGTCTGTTATGTCGTCGTCCCGGCTCCTCCCCTTTACTGAAACGGCTCACTCTGATTTCACTGCACACTGCGAGCTCCTCATAATGGGCACAGCGGGTGTACAGACCCGGGAACTCAGCACAGGGGGGGTGGGAGCTCCTCATAATGGGCACAGCGGGGGTACAGACCCGGGAACTCAGCACAGGGGGGGTGGGAGCTCCTCATAATGGGCACAGCGGGGGTACAGACCCGGGAACTCAGCACAGGGGGGGTGGGAGCTCCTCATAATGGGCACAGCGGGGGTACAGACCCGGGAACTCAGCACAGGGGGGGTGGGAGCTCCTCATAATGGGCACAGCGGGGGTACAGACCCGGGAACTCAGCACAGGGGGGGTGGGAGCTCCTCATAATGGGCACAGCGGGGGTACAGACCCGGGAACTCAGCACAGGGGGGGTGGGAGCTCCTCATAATGGGCACAGCGGGGGTACAGACCCGGGAACTCAGCACAGGGGGGGTGGGAGCTCCTCATAATGGGCACAGCGGGGGTACAGACCCGGGAACTCAGCACAGGGGGGGTGGGAGCTCCTCATAATGGGCACAGCGGGGGTACAGACCCGGGAACTCAGCACAGGGGGGGTGGGAGCTCCTCATAATGGGCACAGCGGGGGTACAGACCCGGGAACTCAGCACAGGGGGGGTGGGAGCTCCTCATAATGGGCACAGCGGGGGTACAGACCCGGGAACTCAGCACAGGGGGGGTGGGAGCTCCTCATAATGGGCACAGCGGGGGTACAGACCCGGGAACTCAGCACAGGGGGGGTGGGAGCTCCTCATAATGGGCACAGCGGGGGTACAGACCCGGGAACTCAGCACAGGGGGGGTGGGAGCTCCTCATAATGGGCACAGCGGGGGTACAGACCCGGGAACTCAGCACAGGGGGGGTGGGAGCTCCTCATAATGGGCACAGCGGGGGTACAGACCCGGGAACTCAGCACAGGGATGGTGGGGGCCCCTCATAATGGGCACAGCGGGTGTAGAGAAGCCCTCCCATCCCTTGTATGTAGGGAGCTGTTCCCATGTCGTCTCCGCACACAAGGACGATGCGAGGAGCTGACACTCCGTAATCTCCAGCTCAGGGTCAGCGCGGAGGGAGGGACCGGCCAAGGACACTTTGTGACTTTTATCTCTCCTCCGTGTATCACGCAGACTGCACCAGGACACGTCCAGTCTATGGAGGCCAGGAAGGGATCCGGCCTTGTCTGTGATTACTCTGAAGGGCAGTGCAATGGCTTCCCTTAAAGAGACCCTGTCACCTATTCTGGGCAAAGTGTCAGCTGTGGCGGCTGCATTAGCTTTCTATTCATCAGGCTTTTCTTTCCTTAATGTTCACCCAGTGATCCTGCCAGCAGCACATTTCCTGCCCCAGGGTGACAACATGCACCCGACATACCACATCTCTAAAGTCATGGTTGTCACCCAGATTGGACCTCAAACAAATATGTCTTCTCTTCTCTATGTATATATGTCTCATTGATTGTATATAAATATATACACTATACTACCAAAAGTATTGGGACGCCTTTACACGCACATGAACTCTAATGGCATTCCAGACGCTGAAGGGCAGAAGAACAGAGGCAGCAATGGAAGTCGCACATCTCGAGGTTGTCATAACACAAGCGGAGCGCGCGCAGCCCAATCCGAGGAGAACTCCGAATACTGATAAATCTACATCGCACCCCCCTGCCCCTCCCCCAGCAACACATTCCCCCAAAAATGTCACCCAATGCACAGCACTCGGCTCCAGAACTTGAGAGACGGACCTGTTTATAGAGATAGTAAAGTTGAATCTGCTTACTGCGCCTTCACTGGCTCCTCCCCTCAGCGGCCTGGATTGTAGTTCTGGGAGGCCAAGGTTGTCCCCTCCGTCATTTAATTGCCGGCTTCCTCCCATTGATATTTTGTTTCACCATCAGATTCAGTCACACAGTACCCGGACCCCCATACATGTCCCCCATGTCAGTACCCGGACCCCCATACATGTCCCCCAGGGCAGTACCCGGATCCACATACATGCCCCCATGTCAGTACCCGGACCCCCATACATGTCCCCCATGTCAGTACCCGGACCCCCATACATGTCCCCCAGGGCAGTACCCGGACCCCCATACATGTCCCCCAGGTCAGTACCCGACCCCCATACATGTCCCCCAGGGCAGTACCTGGACTCCCATTCACCTTTTATGGCCAATAACTTGCATATAAGCCTTCAAAATGGGGACATTTGATTTTCTGAGTTCTGGTCCCCATAGACTTTCAGTGAGTTTGAGTTAGAGCCAAGCTCAGGTGTGTTGGGCCCATCACTAGTTTTAGGTGCTTACCTCATGTCTGTCCCTTACAACCATCCCCATCTCACCTTTAAGGTCCTTCATAAAGATTTCAATAGCTGCCAATGTTTCCATTATTCTTGAATCTGAGGATGTAGAACATTGGCAAAGTTAGAAGATTAAACTCCCGTCATCTCTTCCCTGTCCTCCTGTCATCTCTTCCCTGTCCTCCCGTCATAGTACCCGGACCCCCCATACATGTCCCCCAGGGCAGTACCCGGACCCCCATGCCCTTTTTAGGGCCAATAACTTGCATATAAGCCCTCTTAAAGTTTCTGAGAGTTCTACCCCTCCCCCTCCCCCCACCATAGACTTGCATTGAATTTGAGTTTGAACTTTTTGGACGATCGAATGTTCAGATACGAACTGAACTCGGGCCTTATCAGCCCATCAATAATGCCGAACATCTCCCAGTGATCTCCTCCTCTCAGGTACAATTGCCCCTTGCCGGCCTCAGGAAAGCAGTCAGTTCGTACAAGTGAACCGCGCATCAAATTAAGGACTCATTCACACTGGAATCGGCCGGCACGTAGAGGGGGCACGTATCGGGCCGCCCCCGGGGAGGACAGGTGCTGCGTGTGATTAGTACGCAGCCCCCGCCCTTCTCTATGGGACTACGCGGCCGTACGCCGCCCTACGCTCACCTCAAGTGCGCGTGTCCCGGCTCGGACGCAGACAGGATCCATATTGTCAGCGTATGAGTATACTCACCCGTACGGACATGCAGGGCGGGTGAGCGTAGGGGAGGGGACGGCCGCGTACTCCCATAGAGAAGGACGGGGGCTGCGTACTAATCACACGCAGCAGCTGTCCTTCCCTGGAGCTGC